GGTTATGCATTTTTGAAGGACATAGAAAGAAGGTCTGAAGGCTAATTTGAAAGTGTGAAATTTGTGAAGGTTGTGCATGTGATGAGAAGGAAAAGAGAAATGTTGAAAGAAAGAAGTTCTAAAGTTAACTATTTACAAGAATTGTAAAACGGCCATTTTACTCTGAGCAAGAAAGTGAGGTTTCAGTCTCCAAGGCTGGCAGGACAAGGTTGCTGGATACTTCCTAAGCTAAACCAGAATATTCAGAAAAACAGCAAGGATTAAGGTTCAGTAAAAAAAGAAGTTAAGCCAACGAGCGGCAGATTATAACCTCAGGAAATTTAAAGTACTAAATTTGGCTGGTCTGAGTTGTCTTACTTCTTATCCAACCATCCTGGTCCCTGGCCTCAACTGCTCCTTTCCTTCCCTTTCTCTTTTCTCTTGGATAACAGCCCATTCTAACATTCCCTCCCACTTTCACTGCAATAAAATCTCAACCACTCATCTGTCACCCCTTATCGGTAGCGCCATGGCGACTACCCTCTCAGCTTGGAGTGAGGAACTAGAAAAAAGAACCTCATACCCTTTAGTCCACCTCTTCTCCTTACACCTTTCAGCTTGTCTCCATGATCAGGGATTTTTCTTCCTCTGTGGGGAAAACACATACACCTGTCTCCCCACCAACTGGACAGGAACCTGTACTCTCATCTCTCACCCAATGTAGACGTGGCCCCCCAACAACCAGTCTTTGCCTGTCCCCGTAACCCACCGTATCCTACACAAAACGGCAGTCCAGATAATCCCTCTCCTCATAACCCTGTCTCAGGACCTACAAGAAACATGTGGATGCCCAAAAAGGGCAAAACTGGGAAAACAAGAACCTCACCCCCAGGGTAACCTGTTCTCCCCTTTCATATCACTAGTGAGGCAATTGAGACCCAAATATTTCCCCCTCTAAAAATAACATCTAGGTCTCAGTTGTATTTCAGCTCCAGGCCCAGAAAAGCAGCAAAACCAGACAAGTGACGCTGTGGCAGCCTCAGGACCAGTTTTTACCTCCCAAGTCACTCAACAGGATCACTCTCAAGAGACTTCACCAACCAGTCTCTTGGGGAAATGCTGCTGCTGCACCCCTCGTCCAGCCCACTACTATCAAAGTCCATTCCCCTGTGATCTCAACGTCCAGACTCAGCAGGAAGCAATTACAGAAGATATGACCTTCATCCCTATTCCATAAAACAAAAAGGCTGGAATGTTAGGTTTGATGGAGCAATTGAGTTGATAACCTTCCCCCAGGAACTGGCTTTTCAGGTCATTTCACTAGGGACATTCCCTTTGCTGAAGACCACATTTCACTTGTGGTGACCACATTCCATTCTCTCCCCTCTGGGTATGCATAAAGAAGTCTCCGCCCAGAAAAAATCCCGCCAACAGTCCTTTAAAAGTCGCTGACTCCCCTCACTGGGTGCTGGAGCCATCCAGGCTCAGCCACCTGGTGTGTGGATGATCGAATAAATTCGTAATCCCTCAACAACAACAACAAAATTACTGTCTCTAACACCATTGTGAAACTATCCAATTTAAAAATCAGAAAACAAGAGATGTGACTTGACTGATAAAAGGGTATAGAGAGTATAATAACTCATGGAGTTAAGATTATCATTAGCATTAATAATTTGCCTTGGGATCTGACATCGCTAGAGGGTTTACTTGCATTAGATACATACTCTGAGGTATTACTGCCCGTAGGTATTAATGTCCACATTTAATAAATGAGAAACATACTCAGAATGATTAAATGAATTACCCCCAACTTTCTAATGCTAAGCTCAGGTCTTCTTCTACCACAGGTATCTTCCAGACCACGAGTCTCTTAACTATGTTGGTGCTTCCTAACACATTTTTATTCTTGTCATAACCAAGGATTTAACAAGATAGGCCTGAAAACTGACCTCTCCCTTCACAGCCATACAGACATATCCCCCTGTAACTCACATCATCCTATATAATAAAAGGCTAATATGCAAATTGTCCCCTCAGGAGTTTGACCAACCAGGAGTTTGACCACTCACTATGATGTGCGCTGACTACCAGGGGGCAGCGTAGAATGAAGGAAGGCCCTGGCCGGCCCTGATCGCCAGCCAGGCCTAGGGACCCTACCCGTCCGTGCACAAATTTCGTGCACTGTGCCTCTAGTACACAATACAAATACATGTGATTCATTCAGCATCATTAGGAAATTATATTTTTATATTTTGCTAAAAATTTATTTTTAATCCTCACCCAAAGATATTTTTTCACTGATTTTTAGAGAAAGTGGAAGAAAGAGGGAAAGACAGAAATATCGATGTGAGAGAAACACATCAATCAGTTGCCTCCTGCATGCGCCCTGACTGGGGTCTGAGCTGGGGAGGAGCCTGCAACCAAGGTATGCGTGCCCTTGACCGAAATCGAACCTAGGACCCTTCAGTCCACAGGCCAACGCTCTATCCACTGAGCCAAACTGCCTAGAGCTATTTTGCTAAATTTTTAAATAACAAAATTGTACTTTTATTGCAAGCATTAAAATTCTCATTTAAAACAAAACTAGATTAAAAAATGTCGTAATACCCTGATCTTAATGAATGAAATAACTTAATTCTTCATTCACAGTTTATAATCACATAGAAGGCAGTTGGCTCTGAAGTTACAGCTCTAGAATATCTGGACAGCTTTTCTCAGTCAGGTGCCAC